TAATATTAAACACGGTATATTAAAATGAAATGAAACATATATGAAAGTGCTGTCAGAACACTTTATATCCCCCAACGCTATTTGCATTGTCCATATGAAATGACCATCATCATATTGCAGATAACATGCGTGAGTTGCGTGTAGTAGAATCCTGGTTGTAATGAATCGCAATGTTCGATGCTGACACTGAAGTTTGCAGCGTTTTGATATATATACTTGTAGTTATTTCAGGCTGAATTTCTGCGATTCCATATATTCGCATTTTATTTCTTGTTTAATATCGACTCCGAAATCTGAGTTTCATAGGATATGAAATTACCATACACGCATTATATTCCATGATGATATCACTTACATCTCTAAACCATCTCTATGCATCCATCATACTTGCCGAATTGATGAACATAACGATCGATTGGATGTTTCCTGCAAGCCAGTTACCATCGGCAACAGCACTTATTGACAGCTTTATAAGTTCTGTTTAGCATCGGTTATTCGTGAACGGTATCAGAATATGGACTCATTTTCAATGAATATTTTTACAGGTACTCAGGAATGATGATCTTAATTGGCAGGTTTATCCAAGCATGCATCATCATACTGTCATACATACATAACTCCGTTTCAGGTTTGGGAATTCATTGACGCTGTTTTCTGCTTCTATTTTAGAGTAGTGGTTTTGATCCTGAGTTATATTGTGTACTTCAAATTCATAAATAATTAAAAAATTGCCTTGACACTGACAGTAAGGATATTAAGCGTATCAGAATTGGCTTCATTGCCTCAGGATCATTTTGTGCTTGGTGTGCTACTTGCTTGGAAACCAATTAACTCGAAACAGGAAATACACTCTATTTCAGCATGATTTAAGAAGACATTGAATTTCATTAAACGCTTCCTCGCAATACTCTGCATACAAGGATATAATACAATAAACTAGACTGATAAAAGCATGTAGAGTCACAGGTTGAATATTTTTACTAGTCATGTGCAAAGCGATAAAATTAAGCGAACTATGTATTACGTTTCAATTGTATCACCTGAATGTACGGTTATTTATTAGTGATTGAACGTGAATATATATCAAGTCCTGGAAACTGAATAATATTTTGAATAATGGTAATAATGGCAATGTTAAAACGAGTTAAGTTAGTGCTACTGATATACGCTTATTGTTAATGACACAGTAATACTACTAATTACGAGAGAAAGAATAAAATAATAACAATGTTTACGTAAATAATATCGGTTGATAAGTAAAGCACAACAGGATCAAAATGACCGCCATTTTTTTCTGTTTACAGAGATCGGGTTTACAACTCTAATTTCGTGAGAGATCATCGTCCTGTTAATTTGTCTATCGATAATAATGAATTGCTTGACGACGTAAGTGTCTTGCTCGCAGTCTACAAGATACTTTCATATTAAACAGTTTGATACTTTGACTTCAGCCCTATTCAATTAGTTTGGCAAACACTCCGTCATTTGAGTAGGCAATCTCTTTTGCATTTGGCCAACGCATTTACTTGAACAAACGCGCTCTAAATGATACAGGAAACCTATAGTGTCGAGGATTCGCAATCACTCGTTCTTAGACTGCAGCAGCATCCACTCGGTCATGTCGAAAAACCCGAATTCTGTGGCTCAGTAGGTCCTCCAGAGGACTTCATAAAGTCTTCATTAGACCACATCCTGTACAACATCTGATTTCAAGGGCACATTGATGTGTACAGCTGCTTTTCATTCTATATGGATAATTTACCAAGGCTTAATTCTGCAGAATGTTCGTCAATGAGCTCATTGTGGTTCGCATTTAAAGATAAAATATCTTTCAGAGTCTTTATTTTGTATGCCATAATAGTGCCAGATCAAACTTCTAACAGTCTTCTTATATCGGATTGGTATTATATTACACGTGTTTTGTTGTAAAGTTAGGATCACGATGACATGAGTTTACTTTTACGCATGTGTTTTGTTTTTGATTTTATTTCGCAGACAATCAAAAGAGAAATCGCTAATCTAAGCTGGGTACCAGTTGTCGTATATGCTATCTCAAAATACCATTGTCTAGCTAGTAAATGGTTTGGTAAATTTGATGTGTTCGATTGCTAAACACTGTGCTAGGAGCGACCGTTTTAAAATACATCCTCGAGCATTTTATGGGTTCTTGCGTAAATACGTTTTGAAACATGCGCGATGAAATCCTCAGCGTCTAACGGGATTACACGTAGGCTCAAATTTGTGGCTACGGTTTCGATGAATATAAGTGAATCCTATATCTGGTTAGATAGACGAGTTTGGAAGCAAAATTGAAAAACATTTATGACCGATCTCAGTGAAATGCTTGATGGTAGGTGATACTGGATATCTCTCATGAAGTTCACTTGAAACAGGTGTATTTCTTTCTTCCTCCAGCCACTTAGGAATGTGTTCTGTAGGCTGCCTATTATCCATAGACTTATGATTGCTAATGTAAGTGTAGAACGTGGGTCCTGTGGTAATTCCATATTAGATAAGTTTTGTTTTAAATATCACACAGTGATTCTGTATTAAAAGGTCATTTACTTTGGTTGGGAAAGAGAGAGAGAGTTGAATTACGAAAGCTTTGTTTATCGATTCAACACCGAAAACGTGCAATCGGAATGACGAAACGACTATATCAAAAATAAAGAAAGTCTCAAAGGGAAGTTGGAGAAACAGATGTAGAGAAAAAATTTAGCAGACAGATCGTGAAACCGGAGTTTCACATTCATGGTACACATAAGCAGCCTACGTGGAAAGGACGATTAGTTTAGCAGCTTTTGTCAAAATGAACACTAGTCAAGACTCTATACTATAATGCTAGGAAACTATGATCTACAGAGCGATTAGAGGAAGAAATCATGTTCCTCGGAAAGATGTTGAGAAGCAGCAGTAGCTCTCAACAGTTAATTAACAGACGTCAAGAAAAGAATGAGGTCGTCACTAGCCACAGACTATCTGGCAGCTAAGCTGGTTCTTATTAATCGAACGACTTACTCTTTTGAGGAATCGAAAATCAACAGATATCTTTCTCATGTTAACTCCAACCGCATATACACATTTACGTATAACCGTGGGGGCAGTTATGTTGGAAAAAGAGAAAGAAGGGCATACCCCCAATTTTCTCCACATGTATCAAAAAGCTTATGTCTGAATGAGCCAGATGCTCAGAAGGGTGCTGTCACCAGGCATGTCCTTGATACGGGTCATGACGTGAAGTTGACAAGACCGTTCAAAATTATCAGTAGGTAGAAGAGTTCAATTCTCCTAAAAGTCTGCTGAAGCATTCTCCATCAAGCATCTGAAACCCCATTTGTGTCCAGAAATAGGCTGTTATCTGTCTTTCTTTGCACTGGTAACTGGATATTTTCACCCTCACTTTCATCTGATTACATGGTGCCGAAAGTTTCCATTGCGTATGAACATTATTGTTCGGGAATACGTGTTCATTATTATATATATATATATATATATAATGATTGTGTGCATATATTGATTGCTTTTTGATATAAGGAAAATTCTTGGACATTGTAGTATAGTATATCTCCCTTATGGATAAATTTTCATTTCAATAAAATCACACATTGCTATACAGTTATATTTGCCCTTTCAAGAATAAATTATTCCTCATATTCCGATCAATAAATGGCATGATTATTGTATGATATTGATAATATTATGAGCAATAATTTGTAATTGAAACGTGAAATATTACTCTATTACACTGTGAAGCTTCAAAATAAAATTTTTCGGTATCGATTGACTTTTGCTTAAAGATGAACTCTGTGCGAGTATGTTAAAATTGTTTCTATAAATTTACTTAATAATGACTTTCGGTTGTAAGCAGCCGATGAGAAGCTAAATAAATGAATCACCAATTAATTCTGTAAACCTGCAGTTATTGTTTCCGAATGCGTAAACGCTGCTGGTTAATTCATTATGTACACTATCAGTTGCTTATCATAATTTGCCCTTGGAAAATATAGGAGGTTTAGCTTAGATAAAACAGCCTGTGTAACGAAGTGAGATGAACATATATAATCAGTCAAATGAATATGAAACTAAATAATTTTTGAACCGAAATTTTTCAGTTGATCTGTGATTTGACTTTTCATCCATAATACATCGTACATTTGTAGCGGAATGTTCACCATGCATATAAAATATAACAAAACTTCATGTTTCAAGTTTGACGATGGATTGATATCATTTAGTGAAGCCCTGAAGAACATCAGGCGGTACTGAACAGCTGTTTTGTTGGGGTGGTTTGGAACTCATCGGAAGTACATGATCACTGGTGTTTGAGTGAGGGACTCTCAGATTTTAAAACATGCTTGTAGACCATTCAGCTATTGAGGCCCGACTAAATTTATGAACATTCGAATTCTAACCCTTAAGTGATTAGTGATTGAAATGTGACTGATGCCAGCTAGTGTTATTCAAAGCGAGTATTTGTCTTCATTCTTAGGTTAGCAGACCCACCTACTCAGGTGTTACCACTAGAAATCCCATCGGGCATATCATTTCTGAATTTGGTCGATAGTGAGAATTAGAATAACTTACAGGATTTAGTTTAAAAGAATTTGATTTAATTCATGTTTCACCACAGATTGATATCAATCAGAGAAGCATTGATAGCCAACATCATCGGTAAGTATCTACTCGGTTTCGTGCTAAAATCAGTTGAAGTTAGAATTCATGCAGTGTTCAATGAGTGGGGTCCTTGAAGCTTAATGGTTTACAAGCTTGCTATGTAACCGGGAGATCCTGAATACAAACACAAATGGGGTAGTACCGCCAATGAGTCACAGACTGAGGACAGGAAAGAGATGTCCACTATTCCCTGGTGTTTTCCGATGGTCTGCTAAATTTTCTCTATCCATAGTGAAACTTTAATTAAATCAAATTACTCCCTTCAAATTAACTCTTGAAAAACCTACCAAATTTGAAAAATGTACCAGTCTATTTTGTCAGGAAGGATTGGTTGATTCGTCTTCACATGGATGTTGACCATAGACAACAAGAGTGACCGCAAATCAATATACTGTTGTTGTTCTATTTAACCAATGTACTACTGATTGATTTTATATGCCACGTAGTGTGCTGTGTTACTTGCCAAATATAGCTGCATCTTTAGATAGGTGAAAACAAAAATGAGATACACATGTGTGCACCGTATACATTCATAGTGTGCATTCATGAAGAACTATAAAAAGGCTAAATGTGAGAGATTTAGGCGTAAAATTATTTAACATTAAACAACACGCTTGAGAGGATTTGGACCATGGAAAGTTTATTACTACAGGCAATACTTAGCCTGCTACTCCTATTATCAAACATCAGTGCATTTGATGAATGTAAGTTGATTACTAATCCTGCTTTATAACTTGTCTAAATATTATCCTCATGCTGTTTGTAATTTTATTTTTTTGGATCAAATTCTTCTCAAGTTTATTAACAATAATTAACTACTCATCTCCATAGCCATTTAAAGGTAAATTTAAGTAAAGACTTAGTTATAGCTAGAAATTAGATAGAAAAGCATTGATCAGCTGAACGCGTGTTTCCTTCTGGGTCAAATATCCGTGAAAGCGTTGGTTGATACTAGGACTATATTAGCGGCTTGACTGAAGGAAGAATATCAGTGACGGTATGATAGACACACCAGCCTGGTAAACTGATAGAGTAGAACTCTGATGAAATCAAAGGTGGATAATGTAGAGGAGTCCTGTACTACGGAGAAACATAAGCTTTTGTATAATGCTCTAAACCTATGTTAGTTCTACCCTCAAATTATTCAGAAATCACTAGTATAAGACCCGAAATCTGAATATTTCAGTTTAGCTAATAATTATATTATTTAATGTAAATAAATTCCTTGGATATCTTGAAATGTGTATGTGGAAGAGTTTGATTTTCTCTCCTCATTAAATTATCCACGGCGAAGTAAAATCAATTCTGTCTGATAAGCAAGTCTTTTTCAAAATAACTTCTCTGTATTATGTGCAGTGTGTTGCTGGTGAAATTGATTCACCATTCTTTTCAACTGTCATTTTCTGAAAACCTTCAACTCCCGATATGTATAAAAACAAGCGACAAGCGGTAATAAAGCGGGATTTAATGATTCAGCGAACTTCTCTGGAACTCCAGCTCAGCTGAATACTAATATAATGTATGATTACATTCCGCCAGAGTTACCAAGCATTACACTAAGATTAGGGATAGATATAGGTTTAAAACGATACAGACATTCATAGATAGATGGATTAAAATAAACATAGCTGAATAGGTAGTTGAATAGCAAAACGGATAGCAATGGGCACGAGTTAATGCGGCTCAGTGAACCAGAGTAGAGAGTGTGACAGTGGATTTTATTGTATTGTAGCGCAGTGTAGAAGATTGTAGAGCAGTGTATTTGAATAAATAATGAAATGCCATGTGATTCCATTTGTATATGCTGAGAGAACTTCCTCGCGAATCGAAGGTTATGAAATATCTCTATGTTTTGATTTCAGATTTTTTCTATGACGATCATGGAGAAGGTAATACTGCGGTGTTTTCTAGGTTAACAGCATTCTTCACAGTCTTCATGACATGTTCTTTGCACCAGGCCTATTCCTCACTCACTCGCTCCTTCACTCAGTGACAATAACTAACGTCGATGATTTCGTCGTTTTTTTCATTTCGTCTGGACGCAGTGAATTTGTTGGTGTTTTCTCTGCGTAAACGATTCAGTGGTACGGTTTAGATTCATTATGAATGAAGTTGCTTCAGAATTACCACCCAGTCTCTCAATAAATTCCACTGAGACGTACTCACTTGTCCAGTGTCATATCTTTTTTATATATTGCACATGATCTGTGTCAACTTTATTTAAAAGTGTATGTTTCTGAGTTGTCATAATTAGATAGGTTTTTGTCGTTTTATAATGAGCACACTTATTCCTCAATTGCAATTTACAGTATATTATTAACTTATTGGTTGAGAATTTGTCGAAGAAGAAGAATTTGGTGTTGTCCGATGATTTATGTAGTTATTGTACGCATGGAGACGCGTGATATAACGACGTTGAGTGTGGGTTTCTTCTGGTTACAGTGAATTTCAGTCCTTTTATTAGCACTTCACGCAATGAAGTGACATCTGCAGTATCGAATAATTCATTTAGTTATATTTTCCTCCGTTACCACAAAAGGCACACTGGTAGTCACAAAGTCAACAAAAAATATGCGTGAGAGCATTTTGCGAATCCAGGATATAAGTGATTGGTTAGGACAATAAGAAAGTAATGTGTACTGCGTTGGGTGGAATTTCTGGAAGTCCAGTGATTTATGCGAACCACCACATTTGATGATCGCCATTTATGCTGATCCGTGTGCGATTTCGTTTTTATGCCAACTTGTTTGCTCAATCAGTGCAACTTTTAGATGTTTGTATTGGTGTGCTTATTTTTAACAGCAACCACTTGAATCTCATTTGAGCCATTGTCTTCCATGTTATATTCCGATGGTGCTAACAAGTTTATTACTTACTGTAAGAGTTTCCTACAGCTTTCTACAGCGATCTCATCTGCCAAACAATCGGCATTTTACAGACAGACTACTTATACCTATTGAAGATGGTCTTGTGGATTATCTCCTTATGCTTTACAAAATGTATGTTTGTTCCTAAGTGGTGCCGTCCAATGTAAGCCTTATTTCTGCTTATAAGATTTCCGATCTCCTATCCATTTCCCAGCATGATGTATTCTATCTGTTGTTTAGTTTTCGTTCACAGTGACCTGTCACAACATTTTGTGGCGTACGCATCACATTCCACTTGCGACCTCAATACACCTCAGCATACAATAGCCACAAGTGATAGATTTTCTGCGTTTGTGTGAATAATCGTTGTAAAGACATTCAGATGTATTCAACTGTTTGTCTGTTGTAAATATGAAGCTTTGATTAATGTCAAACTACAACATACATTGTTACCATTGCTGCATTCATTCATGGGGGAATTCCACCGAAATTCATAACAGCAGCGTTGCACTGTTGAAGAATCAATAAAACCATGATTATTTTTGGAGGTGTACGGATCTTATGACGAAATTCAGTAAGCAAAAGCGGTTTAACTTCAAAGCAGATGAATGCATTGTGAGATGAGTGTGACTTCTGATTATGGACACTTTCGGTGTTAGTTTGTGGACCTCGGAAATAGTTGAATCCTCGAGATATCTGATTTCTTATATCACGTCTTCAGCTAGAAGCAATTATTCCGTATTCTAATTCATCATACGGGAGAAATTTATTTTTGTATGGTTTACTTGATAAATTATAAAGTGTTAATTGAATAGCCTGAGGGAAATAATTTTCTCTATTTCAGATGATCTGAATTCAACATTGGATGCATACGCAGGCTCTTACCATCAAGTTTTGAATGATAAATGTACGTGCTTATTTCATTGAAAATTATTTTATGGTTGTCTCTTCACTCTGGACTGTTCTGTAATGATCGGTCTTCACTTCCTCCTACTACTCATACCGCTTGCCTCGGTTCGTAGATGGCTAATCAGAAAACTCAATCACTGACAATACTGAATAGCTTTTTAAAAATTTCATTTTTCAACTCTACGCCTCCATTGAAGTTCGGGGATATATATTTCTGAAGTCAGCAGATGTATGTAATGTCACTTAATTGTAATAACTTGCAAATCCTTAATGTAAAGCAGACCAAGAATACTGATGCTTCGACATGAGTGTTAGTGCTTTATCCATTTCAGGAAACTTGATAATCTCCGGGAAAATATTTCTCATCCATGTGTATATCACAGACGGAGCTGAGTTGAATAGTAATTGGACAGTAATGTCGATGGGACTGAAAAGCTTGATCACTCTGCACTGGTTACCAGTGGATTGTGCGAAAAATATTTACATTTATCTATAGGTGTGTTGACAGTGCACGGATGACAGCCATATTTCATGATTGATTATATACACAAAAACAGAAAGCCTGATTTCATGTTGTTTAGACGTCAACATTAAATCTTTCAGGGTATTTAGTCAACGGATAAATAATCCACATACTTTACACTTATTTCAACCCATTTGTTTGTTTTAGTTTTCATGATTGAGTTACAGACAAACGTAGATCCCTTGAATGCGGAAGAAAAGATAAAACCTGGTGAGCAATTTTATCAAGATTTCTACACAGCTGCCTATAAATATCAGTCGGAAATAGATGGTCAGGTCTTTTTTCAGTCAATAGTTCATGTTATATTTCACGCATTTTGCAGATATTTCTTATTTTTATGAATCAAAGATGAACACTTGTGTTCTCTTTGAGGATGGTAGAGTAACTCGTTTGTTTTTTATCATGTGATGAAAATGGAATGTACCTCCTGGTGTGTGCATTGTACTAGAACAACAGTGACTGATCCTGATGCTTGATATAACGCCTGTCCAGTGTGTAGCACGAAAACTTTTGCAGAGACCCACGCACCACCCTACCCTTACTGCTGCGCGAAATCTCGCTGCTGCTTTGAATTACATCTCTGAAACCTATGATCTCACTTATGGGTGTAGTGGAAGATTCTCTAAGTAAATAGAATATTGATGAGAGCAATTGAGACTGTAAAGGGGGTCTGAGGTTTATGTTGTCTGCTGCTGTCCTAGGTACTCTTAACCTGTTTTTCAGATTGTCATTACCGTTATTCTTTTGAGTACGCGGTGGAAAAAAGGATATCAGCTGCACATCTCAATTACATCCTCCTCTCTAAAGTCCTTTGTGGCTGGCTCCATAACTGTCTAACAAACTCTATTTCCGGCTCACAGAGTCTCCATCACGTCACTATCATACCACACCTTACCTCATCATACCTCCTTCTCGTTCCACTCAATGAAATGGCCTTTGATATCAGTTTGCATTCTTTTCAACGCATGCTCCACCTACCTTCATTTCAGTTGTCACATTTGTTGGGAATAAGGTTCATGATTGGTTTGTCGCCAGACGTCCTTGTCGCTAATATTTTCGCTTCCTTGCCTTCAGTACTAGTGCATCATATTCAGATACCGTCAAAAGTGTTCAGCTGCTTGTTGTTAATGCTTTGTCAACACGATAAGCCTCTGAATCACGTAGAAGCATTGGTTTAACATCAGCCTTTCAGACCAAGAACTTATTCCATATACTGGATGGAATAATCTCGTCTACTGATTTGAAAGCTGTGAAATTCTGTCTTGGCTTTCTGACCTCAACTGGTTGCAACGTCCTCTCCCTTGCCGTCATGTGTAGTTGAAATGATGATGCCCTGATAAGTATAGGAAATGACTCCCTTCACATTTCCGCCGTTAACACTGGTTGGTTGGTAAGTTGAGCTCATCACCTGTTTATGCTCTATGCTCAACTGGAAACGTGTCTTTGTTGGGTGCGTCTTCTCCCAACGTGTTCATCTTCACATGCGGAACTTCGAGTCTGTGTGATATTACACATAAACCGTCGGCTTAGTTCAACCTTTTTTGACTGCTTTTTGCACCAACGTACGACCATCCTACTGCTGCTCACGGTCTTTTACACGATGCAGTCGACCATAACTAGTAGTATCATCGGCAACCAGCCTCACTGAGCTTTCCGTTGTGAATCTCTTTGCGCTTGTCATATTCAATCATTCGTTCGAGGCTCCCTACTCCGTACTTGCAAATGCTGTCCACAGTTTTTCAAAGTCAATGTGTTTGAGGTAGATATTTGGTTAAAATCCTGTGCTCTCTTCTAAAATAAAGTGAGGCTTTGCGATTTGATCTGCATGTGAGTCGCTTTTCGTGAATACAGCTTGTTACTGGGGGATTTAAGTATTCATAGCATCATTCAGGCTCTCCAGTATAAAATAAGCTATTGTTTTGCTTGGATTTGGCAGAAGCATGACTAAAGTCGCTCTTCTTTGCTAGTTTGACAAGGTCGCCTATCCTTCTGATCAGCATGTAACCTTTCTTTATCGAAAGCCTTATGCATCAGTGGCGTGACTATATCTATATTCGTTGGAATTCCATCTGATTCTGCCGCCTTTCAGGCTTACAGTAACATTGTGGTGTTCGAAGTGTCTGCCTTTGTTGAGAGGTCGCGATTCACAGATAGCACTGTGGCTGTTGTTGACGGTATTTCTAGACGATTTGCATTAGGTGGTCTATTTAAGTGTTCAAATCGTTTCTCCACTATTCCAACTGACATCCCTCCACCATGATTTCATTTATGTTGTTTGCTTCTAGGATACTGACGCGGTGAAGTGATGAAGTATTCTGAGGTCTCTTTTAACCTGAAACATATTCTGCTTCATTCGCAAATATGCCCGTCTGATTCTTTCCTCAATTTTATGTTCAGAATGCTTAATCAACCCATTCCCGATATTGAGATGAGGATTATCTGAAATTTGGTGTGTATGACTTCTGACATATGTGTCATTTCGTGTCTGTTTCGCATTGATAACTGCAGTCAACGACTGGTTGAAGGTATAGTATTACGCGAAGGGTCAACCATTCGCTTGTTTTCACTCACAACATCTAGATACACATAAAGTAGCTTTCTCTTCTTGATGGTTCCATTTTCGCATTCTGATGTTGTTATTTGTGTTCGTGTACATTAATACTTGCAGTTGTCTGTAGAATTCTCCCCTCTCGCCTCGGTTCACGTCAATTTTCGAAGGATAGCACCGGAATCCATTTTCTTTTAATTGTGTGTAAGTTGTGTGTCAGTGAGTGAATGGTCCCGTATTCAAACCGGAACGTCTAAAAGAGATTGTCTTTGTTGGAGGAAAGTGGGACACTAAAGTGCTACCGATATCTACAAAGGGAAATCATTGTACTCGGGCGATATTAGAATGTGATGCATAATGGAGCATAATTACGAAAATGCAGTCGAAGTAAACTCACAAGTGAGCACAAACGTGCAAACGCATGACAGGAAAATGAATAAAAAAAGTACTAGACGAATGAGTAGAATAACATTTGAGCATATGAACCGTAAGATGGATATTAATTGGTTTACAGAATTCCTGGTTCATTCTATCAAAACTCATATATCTTAGTGCATACTTCTTCAGTAATATTAACAGTAACTAGCCTTTCCATGCATGGCATATTCCCTGAAAATTGCAAATAGGAAATAAGAAATATACGCTGGTCGAAATTCTCTCAACAAATAACTTGTTTCAACCAACATTGCTGCATGCACTAATTTTGTGTTTTTTCACTTTTAACAGAAATTCTGAGACTTGAACATTTATATCAAAGTAAATGGGCGAAAGAATTTCTGGAATGTAAGTCCTGTCATGCACGAACTAGATTCCATTATGTTCGTGAGTCGAAATGTGTGTTCATTAGATGCATGCGTTTTCACTGAAATTAAACGGAATTGATTATGTTATATATGACCAAACCAAGTTCACATTTAACGGTTTGAATTAAAATGAATCGCAGTGCTATTGGAGATGACCATAGCAATTCAACTAATCCACAAATAAATCATCAAAACCAGTACTTAACCGAGTGTTCTCTAGGTTTCACTATCACAGATAATTCTCTCAGAAAGCAGTCTGCAATATATTATGGAGAAACGAGTTGAGGGATGAATTTCATATACACATTTTGCAAAGTATTCCAGTACACATCTTTCCAATACGCATAGCGTTATATACTGAATTCCAACATAAAATGTAACTATATTTGATCGTGTGTAGAATGAATGCTGTTGATTCACCTTTCAATAGTCTTTTCAAAGCAAAATTAATGTGGTCTGACAGAGGAGCTTTGTGACTCCTCAAATCAGTTGCCTTGCTGTACTTTTCATATCTGACAAACCCTCAGTCAACATTTCATGGTTTATTACTGTCCCATTCTTACTATGCTTCCGAGTATAAGTAAATAATTTCCCAATAATTACCTGTAATTTTACAGCAATCGGTGCAGAAGATAGGAAGCTCGTGAATCTTTATAACGGTAGGTTATTTCATCATAAAATATTAAACAGAGTACACGTAACAAAATGATTTTGTATCTGAAGACAAAACTGTCTTCTTATTGTTTGTGGAATGAACGTCAGCTAGAAATCATTTCGTGTGACAGATGATACAGGAGATGTTCATATTCCTTTATAGTTGACAAGGCTAAGAAATGAAGCCGTTATCGCCCACTTATACGAATGCGATCTAGTCCATTTAATGAAGCATTTTAAAATTGTTCGTCAATTTAATGACTAGTGACGCTGTATTCCATAGTGATACAACTTCCTTCATCAACCACATCCTCCTCAATAAAACAGTGTTACATACATACATGATACAGTGAAACAGCATGCATCATTGATAACATTCCGAAAATAGTCTATAGCTTACACACATCACAAGTTCACTTACATGACTTGGAAACTTTGATTGTGTATTTCTACTTTATTTTCATCAAATGTCGAGTGATCAAATAAATCCACAGTTGTTCAGTCACATTGTGAAGTTAATACTGTTATGTGTTCTCTGCCTTCCTGAATGAAGCATTGAGATCCTCATTACCAACGATGCCTCGAATGGTTTAAACCCGAACAATACCGTTGGGTTACCATAGGTTGTAGTAGACAGCGCTGTAATAACCTGAACTGATTTAATGAACTTTCCGTTGAGAGCTATTTCACTTCCAGCATAATCAAATGCTTGTTGAATGAGATGCATCAAGGTATGTGACAATTAGCAGTGTTGGTAAGGCGAACAATTCACTTCATGGTTCACTCTACCAAAAGTCTTCACAAATTCGATGAGAATGAGTTAAACATTTGACTGCCATTGTACTCCTTTTGATGGTGAATCACATTTAGGCAATCAGATACGCACATGATTTTCCTTTCTTCAACTCAAACCGGCCCCAGCGCCAACAATCATCCTCTATATCTGTTGAGAGTGGTGTATAAAACCGTTCTATCTAGAAATGAATTTCAGATGATTTCAAAGATTTATTACTTTTCGAAATGACATCTGTTTATAAATGAACTCAACTCACATTTTCATACTACCACAGTGTACAAATATACAATGCAGATTCTTGGGTATTTGAGGAATTAAACATGTACCAAACAATGCTTCTCTCTCTGTAGATAAATACAGAAAGGTGTTTGAAGTAGACATTGCTTTTCAGCACAAAGGTTTTGGTATGACTGATTTTACTTAACTAAAATTTGTAATACTACTTAATCTCAAATTAATTAGTTCGTTTTAATTAGTTGATCAGTTCCGTGAAAAATGTACACAGCATTTTCAACTGGTGTTTCACGTCGTCATCTATCGAATTTACAATTAGACTTGCCTTTCAGTCATATCAATCACACTTCTATACCACAACATATCACTAAGATTCAGGGTCACAACAAATCACATAACAGTGATGCTCGGAAAATCTCCAGTTTATCTGTTTAATGATAATTGGCATTATCGTTTCAAATGATAATGATTTTCATAGTTTTTATATATGTTAGTCTCATTGCTTCCTACTCTTTCACAGAAAATTGTTTTTATTCACAAGGCCTAATGCATGGCTTAGGTAAATTCACTGGGTGATATATGATATTATGATGAAATTTACCGGATGCCTACAACTGGGCCACTCTAAGACATCTAGATTGATTACCACTGTCATCATGTTGAAGGAATATTTCATAGCTCAAATAATCATATCTTAAAAAGATACCTAGTGAATTTTCATTTATTCTTTCAGCTCATACGGAATTATACAATCTGGTGAAAACCGGTATTTCAAGTAAATGGGAAAACCGAAAAAATCTCGATATTGCAGAAGGTAATATTTGTATGATTCTATTTTCTAGGTAGGCAGTAGGTAATTTAATATTGTATGAGAAATGAAATATTCTTCTGTACTTAGGCGAAGTGCTCACAGCCACAGAAATCTTCACATTCTTGTACAAGTCTTACCGCAATACATCGGAACGGCGATCTGTCGTCTTAAACGGCTCACTCACGTGTATAAATTCTGACTTAGCAAGAAAAAGAATGCAATACATCACCTAATGACAGTCTCAAATTAAATCCCGTATGAATTGGTGGCGTTGCAGGAGATCAGGTCATTCATTGATTTACCTCAGTGGTTTGTATCCAAGACCTTGAGGCCTCTTGAATGTCCGCGGTTTTCTCATCAGCACTGGTATTCACGCTTGGTGGAGAATGATGAGAAAATCTGTGCACTGATGCACTATCTGAAATAGGGGAGAGTAGTTAAGGGAATCAGCGATCGTAGGCGATCACCATAAATGTATTCACTTAGTCATATTGTGTCATTAGAATCCGTCAAAAAACGACTACTTGCCATCAATATGTTAGTGTGAGAACGTATACGAGATGGCTGGGTAACATTTTGTAATAGAAAAGCTAGTTAACTTTAATGGTGTCATTCGAATTGATGACAGCTGAAACCATCTTTGAATAAATTGATTATGATAGGGATGGATTCATGAAATACCTGAAAGTTGAATTACAGTGTTATGTATAAATTGCAGCTAAATTGTTTGCGGAGATATCAGACAATTTGAAGGAAGACGGAGGTTGGTTTACTTTTCCTTTCACGTTCCTCTTCGTAACTTATTAACTGTGCTGAAATATCTCTCGTGATTTTGTGAATAGTTGCTTCTCTGATGTCATTATCATGCACATTCATAATTCCACTATGTAGTGGTATTTATTCGTAATAAACTGCCTGAATATCCTTTATGACAATCAGACTCAGAAACTAGTTGAATGTTCGACTGAATTATCGAGTTGTGTGAATATGTGGAATAGCTGTGTGCACCCATCCGAACAGTCTGTCTGTCCGAATTCATTTAGCATCAGCGCATTTAATACTGATACATAACACACCTGCGTCGCAATATCGAACTGTAGATAGGTGGATTGCGGTCGAGACTCTATTCATTGAAAGATCGTCTTGATGAGAAATATGTGGTGAAACCTCCGAAAATGAACACTGTTGCTCACATTTTATCATCAAAAAGTACAAAGTGTATTGCATGGTTTCATTATTATTTCGTGCGAAGTGTGTGTGTGTGAACATCCATGTCTTACATGCTATAGTTTACTCAGAAATAATGGACAGAAAAATATTCACGCAGTGAAGTAACAGTGTTACGGTAGAAGAAAAGGGATTTAGTAAAGCAACGCTTATTCGGAATTTGGTATCCTCATATTCTCTCATTGTGTTCACCACCATTTGCACAGATTTGCCGTGCTGGACTACTTCTCTCCTTTATATTGTATTTCTTTGTATTCCTAGTAAGTCTCCCATGGCTTACCTAGATGATGAATAATTTGGTTTGTTTCACGTCAAATCTATCTCCCTGCTTTTTGATGCTTTTATTCTGATGAACGTCTCTTCGTATTCTACTTATTAATCTTATCAGTAGGAAACGCCACGTCAGCCCTTAACATGCAGACACTCCTCAAAATGTAGCATGTCTTTATAAATACAATTTGTAGCATGAGAAACCATTGACACGTGTGTTAATCCAATGATTTTACAAATTAGTGTAAACAAAGATTATTATTCTATGCAAACGATTATTGTTCTTTGACGGACAACGTCAAGCCAACATTGAAGATGGGCACAGACGCGGTATAAAAGCAGCTTACACCCAGTGAAGGCATTTGCTATACTGATGTCAGGGACTACTCAAAATATCATGTGGTAAGTTGGACATTATCAATAGGATAACCATGTTTTTTGACAGTCATTAGCCATCGCGTTAATATGATCAGTACACGTTGAAGAATACACAACGAAACATTTCATAATTTGAAATATTGAGAAATTATAGTCCAAATCGAAATGATGAAGAAGGATTTGATGGAATTGGAGAAAGCAGTGATTGCATTCAAAGGTAAAATGTTTCTGTTAATTCATATTGCGTACTACGTTCAAGAATGATAGACTGTTAGTATGAAAACTCATCCCTGCTTGTGTTTATAGTCTGTTGTTAAGTGCCCTATTCGCTCATCACACATAATGACTAAGGTACATTAGATGTCCGTTTCATTGGTAGTACAATAACTTCTCAGAAATATTAGGAAAGCACGTTTAACCACAAATGACTCAGTACTACTTTCGTGAGGAGGGGAATAAACTATTGAAAACGAATATATTCACTATGTGGTGAGAAGGAACTTGTTGAGAAATAATCAAGTTATAAGGGCAGTTTTCCGATTCGTCACTGTATTGTATTCAGCTTGCTGACACTGAATTTTGTTGATTGACGGTTTACATGTCATTCAACACTTCTTGCTTCTGTTTATTTATTATTTCTGCTTCCTTTCGTTCTTAGAGGAACATAGGGCTTCAGCCACACGTCTAGATTCCGTTCGGTTCTCCCTCAATTTTTTCATCTGTTTCCACGTCTGCTAACATGCTTTCATCTCCTCTTCACATGACCTCTTCCATGTCATCGTTGCACTGAA